ACCACGCTAATGCTAAGTTACAGTCTAATGCTACCTTATCCTTTACAGTAACTGTAAATGGACTATGACCACGCTAATGCTAAGTTACAGTCTAATGCTACCTTATCCTTTACAGTAACTGTAAATGGACTATGACCATGCTAATGCTAAGTTACAGTGTGAGTAAAATGAGTCTGTTCTGTAGACACGCTAATGCTACACTATTATTTATACCTGGTTGGCTGCATTTCAGAAAGTGACGTATTAATTTCCTGCGAGACCAATGGGGACCTCACAGCCATGACCTGCAGCTGGAACACTATACAGAGTGTGAGGTTCCAATACCAGTAAGATCTCTCTGTTGTCTCTTTGGGTTCTTCTGCAAACATGTTCTTTGGCCTGCCATAGCCATCGGAACTTGGATTTTGTGCTGTTTTGTCCCAGAGTAAGGTTTATGGCGTGCAGCATAACTGAGGGTGCAGGGAACTTCTCTTCGGTCCTGGGCTGCCCCCAGGGGGGACTTGGTATCGGCAGTTGCACCTTCCAGCCCCTTTTTATAATGGCTTGCTACCAGATGTGGGTGGAATTTGGGACGGAGTTGGACCCGCTCAGATCAGCTCCTGTCCAAGTCTTGCCTTTTGACTGGGGTGAGTCGATCCACTCTGACTTCTCATAAGCCTGCATTTCGACCCCTGGGCTTGTTTGACACTTTTTATTGAGTTTTGTTGAGTCCCATAAAAGTGCAGCATGACAGTATCGTTTCTCGTATACTTAATAGCTTTGCATCATGTATTTTGAAATAACCACCATCAACATTTGAACCTTTTGCCCTTAATTTCTTAGTGTATCACAGTTTTTTGTCATTGATTCTCACAGTAAGCTTTTATATTATATAACATATATAATACATCATTATAGCAACTGTACCGTTATTAAGCGACTTTAATTGCAACCTCTGATGACAATGTAGTGGAGGTTAGTGTCCTGTACCTTCTCACTTTCTGCAGTTAAGCCAAATCCTCCATACGACCTGGTGGCCATCACTGATCCAGAGGGCTATCTGAATACTGAATGGAAAAGGCATGAATTGCTTCCGTTCAAATTCAAGTACGAGATGCGTTACAGAATGGACTCACCTGATGCCGACTGGGAGGTGTGTAAAAGTGTCTTGCAAGCTGTGTTTCCGTAGTTGCCCTTCATGCACACGTAGCATATTGTGGTGCCAACAATAGCTATTTTAGTATTTTTAGCTATTGCTCAGTGACGGTAGCTGAAGGTACCACCAAACTTATTGAATCGGAGATGATGTGTGGCTCTGGGGGTTAAGCTGTTGTATCTATAATCAGAAGGTCACCAGTTTAACTCCTGCTGTTGGTAGAGTTACCATTGAGCCCTTACCTCTTGATCGTTCCAGCGATTGTCTGAACTTGCTTTCTCTCAAAAATATATGCCACTTTGGATAATCATGTCAGTTAAATAAATTTTAGAAATGTAAATTTAATACCTTTAATTTGTATGGCACTATCCAAGAACCCAAAGATGCTTTGATGGGGAAAGACCTAGAACACAGACCACCGCTAGGCAATAATTAACGTCAGAATATAAACCGAGTGTAAGTTGAGAGTAGTGGGAAGGAACCTGCCGTTAGTTTCAGCAGCAAGATCTGATTATCTGAAAGGTTTTTCTTTACATTGCAAGTCAAATAAGTGTAGAAGTAATCAATTACTGCAATTGTTAGACTGAATATGAATGAATGTCTCTTTTTCACAGGTTCTTACCTCTTACAATCAGTCAGTTGTGGTTCCAGTGTCGGACCCATGTCAGATTCACACCGTCCAAGTGCGTTGCAGTCGTCACGATCAGGATGGTCTCTGGAGTGACTGGAGTCGTCAGAGCTTCAGCCACGTCCGTAATTCTAGAGGTGCAAGACCGACTGTGTGATTTCAGCTACCCTCTGTTTTTTGCTTGTGTACCATGCAATGTTGTGGATATCCCAAACCTGACAAGTGAAAATGTTAAAGGTAAATGCTTAGATGGTTGATCCAAAGTGAAAGTCATTCCAGAAGAGACCATCAGGAAAGTAAGTTATGGAAAAGAATATGCAGTGAACTGGGGTTCACTGGGTTTCACTGGCGTTCACTGTAATGGAGTTCTGAATGACCATGTCATTTTTGTCTGTATTTTTAGCTCCAAGCAAGGGACCTGATTTTTGGAGGCTGCTTCAAGAAGATCCAGGGAAGAACCAGACGAACGTCACTCTTCATTTCATGGTAAGGTGATGGAAAGGTGTCATCAGGAAATACGCTGTGGCCTCATTGTGCTTAGACGACAGCGTCATTTTCTGTGTTAGAGCTGCTTTTTTTCTGTCCCTCAGCCTCTGGAGAAAGAGAAGCCTTTGTGCTGTGTTGAGGGCTTCCTGGTGGAGTTCCACAACCTCTCTGGCCAGGTGTGGTCTAACAGGCTGGGACTGGTTGTGTTTTACTCATTTCTGTGGAACGAGACCATCCACACTGTTACCGTCATGGCCAGGAATGATGTGGGGTTGTCCCTCAGGAACACGAGAATGATTCTAGCACCACCCACTAAAAAATGTAAGCAAGCTATCACCACACGTAAGATCCGAGGAACATGAAAGGATTTAAACCCTTTCGCTCAGTTTGTCACAACTATGGAGTGCTGCAAATATCCTCCTGTAAAACCAGAACCATCAGTTCATTAGTGCTGCAGTCAAAAAGTTATGAATGCATAGTATGATTTCAAGTGACTCTTATAGCAAAGACATATTTCCGACATTATGAAAATACTGCACAAACCATTTAGTGATGAGTGTGCGTGAAGCTTGACTTTGACTTGGTTACTACACTGCAACGGTCTGTCAGAGCAGAGTGTCGAAAATTGTCTCAGACCCTGATAGAAAGTTGCAGTTCAGAGAATGTCAGAGCCTTTGCTGTACTGGATACTAAAATGCCGGCCGAAGAAAAAGACTGAATAATAAACTCTCTCAATTGTGAAATTTTTTATTAGGGGGACTATAGCTGACATCATGCCAAATGTCTATAATGGGGCATTTTGGAACGTGCTCAGTTAATTTCTCAATGCATTCAGGAGCGTGTAATATGGAAACAGTATGGAACAGTATTATTAGTTGAAAGTGCAGGTAAAAGAACTTAGATTCACACTGTATTATCCTTACATGTGGTTGGTTGTTATCCTCTTAGCTTTCTATGTCGTTAAATACTAATAGACTGGATGAATGTTACTTTAAATCCATTAATATACGAGGTACACTTTCTTGCAAAGTGATCGCTAGTTGACATGCGTCTCCATTTCCCCCCATCCTCAGCGAAATCACTGTCTCAGTTCAGCGTAATGAGGATAAACAGCAGTTGTGTCACCCTGGCCTGGACCCTGCTCCCAGTCCCCTCGAATCCACTGTCATTTGTCATTGAATGGAGGGCACAGAGCACTGTGGGTGGGGTGAAGTGGGTTCGAGTCCCTGCCCACATCCGCACCTTCATCCTAAGAGGTAGGAAGTGCAACTACAGGCCACCGCATGATGCTCAGTACCACATTTAATTGTGTCCGTCATGAATAGTGTCACTAAAACATGCTGTGTGAAATATGCTTATTCCAGTTTATGCATATGACAAGTCCAAGGCAGTGAATTAGATTTTTTCCTTGGTACCAAATTAACTTCATAGTTAGTACTTGTAGCCTATGCAATTTTGTCATTGCTTTTTTGGTACCGCATTACATTAACTGCACCTTTATAATGCCTTCATAATGCATTCATAGAACATTCATAAGCAGCATGTAAGTATACCATAATATCCTGTCACACCTTAAGAGCTTAAATTGATAACAAACATGATATGATTTGATTATATAATCTAATATCATATAATCTTGTAATGTTTGTTGTTAATGTATAATAAAGCTGTCAAGGTATGTTTATTTAAGTGTGTGTGTGTGTTTTTTTTTTCCCAGATCATTTTTTAAGTTCTGAGGACTATGGTTTTACTTTGTATCCAATATTTCCTGACGGCGAAGGGGAGCCAATTTTTGTCGAAGGTAAGTCTTACTTTCCTGGGTATTTGTTTACCAATTTGAGTGGAGAGATGTCGACTTACTGTTTTATTTTGTTTGTTTTCCTCCAGAAGACAGGGGGCGCTCCACGGGACCGCACTCTCCTTATATGCTTCTGCTAGTTATTGCCTTCCTGTTGGTCCTGGCTCTGGCAATTTCCCAGCACCAGTATGAAATCCTTTCTCTTTTATTTTATGTTGAATTTGTTATATAAAGTGACTAGTAAATTGTTTTCTAGAAAAAAACTATAATGGGCAGCATGATGTCACACTGTGACTCACATCTCCTTGATTTGAGTCCTTCTACCACTCTGAGATTGTGCACTCTGAATCAAAGGGTATTAATATTAAGTTCTGGGCATTGTATTAATTGTGTCTTAATGCCATTAAGAAATGCAGAGGAGCCATGTTTTTAATGCCAAACATGATTTTTTAAATATTATAAATCAGGCTGGTTTTCTTAAAGCCTGCCCTTGCATGGCATTTGTATTTGATCCATATTACGGACAGCGTGATATCTACCAAAAATGAAATTCGATGCCCCCATATACCGAACAGTCACACAGATACTGCCCCAGATTCAGAAATTCACAATGTGGCGGTGTTCATCACGACACTCGGGAAGGACGGTGTTGTCTGAGTGTGTGGTCATGTTTGTCACATCTGGCACAGGAAGATGAAGCTGGTTTGGCGAGATGTCCCAGATCCCAACAACTGCTCTTGGGCCAAGGGTGTGGATTTTACCAAGGTGAGTGTATTTTTGAATTTCGGAATTCTATCATCAGAGATCGAATGATCTCTGGACTTTGTGGTTTGTAATGCGATTCCTAAAGCAAGCCTTTTGTGTTTTCAGGAAAAGACTGTGGAGAATCTCTTTAAGCAGCACGAGATGCCCATGTCTTGCCCCCTTCTCTTGGGACTGGAGACCATCTCAGAGGCTCTGATTGTGGATAAGACAAAGCTACCAATAGAGGTCAAAGAGATGGAGTGGACCTTTGACAACACTGAGGAAAGGGAGGCCTGTGTTTCTCCTGCTATGGAGGGCTACCAAGAGCTACCGGCTCCAAAAATGTCCATAACGTCTTCTTCTGCCATGAGTCTGACTCCATCGACAACCGTCTATTCCTCAATACTGTTCCAGGACAAGGCTGGTCTCTGCTGTAGACTTCCCAAGAGCTTCAGTAGTTCCTCAGATGAGGACAAGTCTTCAGGCGACTCCAATATCCCCGAGTCCTCCTTCTGGGGTCTTTTGGATGGGCGCCTCCCCTGTTTTTTGAAAGCGGCCCGCTTCCGCTCTTGTTCTTTCAACTCACAGGATGAGTTTTCAGACACCATGGACTGTGACGATGAGGCTGTCAGTGACCTGGCTGTGGGCGGGGAGTGTTTTGGCATGGGCATGAGTTCTGGTGACCGAGAACAAGGGGAGAATTTGCAGAGGCAAGCTGCCCGTGTGTGTGCCAAGGAGAGTCCTGACCTGAACCCCCTACTGTGTCATCAGGAGTCCACATGCAATTTGGCCGACACACCAGCTCAAATCATCCCTCTGTATGTGCCACAAATCCAGACTTTATCCTTTTGGAGTCCCAGAGGGAAAACACCAGAATGGGTTTCTGAAGTTTGAGAGGAAAAACACAGAGGCAGAACTGAACACTCCGTATGTTCACCCTTTGTGTGCGCGGTGTGACCCTTAGGGCTGCAATGCAAAGTCAAAATATGATAGTTGTTAACCCGTGGCTGATATTGTTTACCAACTGCTGTACTATTCTGTGACTCATGAAGTGTGGCTTTAGTGTTATATATTTATTTTTATATGAAATTGGTTATAATTGTTATAATTCTGCAATGTGCCGCAAATTGAGTTCTCCATTTCCAGTATGTTTCGAGAACTATCTTTGCCTTCTCCCAAAAGAAGTGTGCTTTTCTGTCGTTCCACCCTGTCTATGGCTAACAGAAAAAATACATGCTATAAATCGACTTAAAGATTTGTGACAGAGTTTTTTGGAACATGGAGAGATGTTTTCTGTGTAAAAAAAAAAAGCCAAATTCACCCAAAAACTTCTTGGGAGTCAAAAGACGACTTCTTGAAGTGAGGTTCTCGCTTCACCTGACAGTGTGGGGCCTTCTTTGTGTAGAAAATGTGACGTGTGACCGTGCAAAAATCCTCATTCCAAACAAACAAAAGGCTGAACTGCTAATAGACAGGCAAGACAATACAATGACATGTTCTGGATCAGGTAAAGCAAAATGCATTCATGTCAAACAAGTCACACAAAGACAATGGTAAATCTTTGATTAAACTTGGTAAATGCCAAACAACTCTTTTTTTTTTTTTTTTGCTAAGATACGGTACAGAATTAACAAACAATGAATCCTCAATCACCTACTTCATTAAGTTTCATTCATGAACTAATTACTATAGCATACAGAAAAGTCTAATAAGAAAATTAATATACATACAATTTAGATTGGCGTTATCTGTTTGTTAACCTTTCATGTCTTGGACAGCTCAAGGACACATCTGACATGTTGTTTCAAAACATCATAAACGACTTGCCACATAAGTTATGAATAGTCCGAATCGCTCGTCTAGTTTGACCGTTCTTGTTGCGAAATGTGTTTTCCACGTTCGCCGTTCGGAAGTGAAACTTTGGTGTGAAACCTCTTTGGAAAGGAGAAAAAAAATGCAAGCTTTGACTCGTGCAAGGTATGCATTTCCGTTCCAGAAACTGCTGCTTCATCCACAGTCATGCTCACACATATCACTAAATGTTGAAACCAAAAAGTTTGTTTTTGTATAAAATGGTATTCATTATTCATATTTGTAGAGGGCCAATAAGAGAACAGACTGGAGAAGCTACCCACTAAACATTGGACGTCGGATAGGCGTGCAGATCATGTCTATATTAGGTCCGTCAGTCCATGACCAATTCTGGACATCTATACAACGTCCAAACTAGGTCCACAATTTGAACGTCCATCCATGACCCAACTTGCACGTCAATATGACATTCAACATTTGAACGTAATTTTTTTGACGTTATTTGGACGACTATGACAGGTGCAGGAAATATAGTTTTATGTACAAATATCAACATTGTTGTTATCAACATAATAAATGTGAATACAGATGATTATTTCGAAACAAACATGATTTATTATGCCAATGCGTACGTATTTTATGTGCATTTGCGCTGATATGACAATAAATTATATCGTGCATTGTTTTTTATGTTCGTTCTGAAAACCATGTGAAAACTGAGTAGTGCAGAGCAGCTGTAACAGTTTTATCCACGTCCCTCGCGGACACTTTTGTGCACGTGCAGAACGCGGGATTTCAAAATCTGGCAGCAGCTTGATGCCCAGTCGAACAAATTAACATCCAGCTTGCTAAACCAGGTTAATGCTAAATTATGTTTTTTACTTTTCATGATACTTTAGCTCTGTACTGTTCTGTTGTATACACTGTAGCACCGGCGGGGCTCATGTCCCAGCATGCCCCGCGTGCAGTTGTAAATAGCCATTGTTGTGTTGTTGCTGTTATTGTTAATTAATAGGTAATTCCTTATTGTTGCACATGTGTTTACATGTGTCTTGTGTGTACCCGGTCTGATCCTCGTGTGTAATTAGCTTACATAAATGTCCCACCGTGGATGCGTCTTACAGTTCGTTGTCTGACAACTTTGTGTTTCTTACATATAATTATGTTTGGTGCTCTTTGGGTGCCTGATGTAATTCTTGTACGGATTATTTGTTGAGTGGATGTTCCCCGGCAGAGTAGTCTCCGTGTTTCTCTGCTCGCGATACCTTCATCTGCCCGTCGCAGCAATACATTATTTAAATTTAAGTTTTAATTGAAAGCATGGTGAAATTGTTCATTTATATATGAATTTAGTCGAGACACGACATACACAATGTCTAAAATTAGTCGGCTTTTGGTATTATAAGACGTCCACAACGACCACATTTGGACTATAAATAGCCCATACATGGAGATCCCACGGCCGTCAATACTAGACGTTCATTAGACGTCAAAAAAAGACGTCGCCTGGCGTTACAAAACAACCCCTTCAGTGGACCAAAATTGGACGTCCAAAAACGACATATTAAAGATGTCATTCCGACGTCACTATGCGCAGTGGGTATTTAAGAGGTCAATCAATTAAGCGTTCAGATGGATTATTTCTCATTTGTAGCATCAACTCACTACTTACGTTTTTCTGATGTTAAAATTAATTATAAGCATATCTTGCGTTTTCTAAATACAAAATGTAATCATTTTAAAAAACAATCCTAATTAAATGTTGGTTTTAGGCTGGTGTATATAATTGCTTCATCATCCCACTCCTCATCTTGTGGACAACGAGAACTTAATTTTACAAATGATTATGATTTTATTTGTGAAAGGAATTGCCTGAATACTTTATGTCATGCCATAGTTTCCCTGCTTATATACTTAAAACTGAAAATCCAGGTTAACTGAAACATTAAGGCATACCTGCTTGCTCCCCAATGCGGCTGTACCTCAGGAATGGGCTCATTAAATTCAAGTGTGGCCAATTAAAGAGTGCTAATGAAAGACTGAAGCTTTCTGTCTTTCTTTATCAAGTAAGGGGCAGGGTGTGGTTAGAACAGTGTATTCCCACGGCAAACCAACTTATTCGGATGTTTGCTAAAAAAGTCTCCACAAATATTGCTGTTTTAAATTAGCTCCAATACTGAGTAATAATTACTGTGGTATGTATTTAATATACCATGGTTAAAACTTATTAAATTCCTGTTAGAATAATATTATCAAATTCCTGTTGGAAAGTCTCCCAAAATGGCGCAAGAGCTACCCCTTCTGGATGAGACCGCGCAGTGCCCTTAATGCGTGGCATGTGCCTTTAAGGCTTACAGCAGTGCGTGGGAACTGGAGCAGCTGCGTTTTTCCCTGTTGGCTTGATGCCAACACATCTCAGAAATGTATGACTGTGTCTCAGATGCAGTGTTTGATAACCTGAATTCAGAATGACTAGTGACGCTTTCCTGATGTCTATACGTGTCACAATTCTTACTGGGTGCAGAGTTTAATCCGTTTTCCCAGATTCTGTAATTGCCATTCAATAGGGACAAAGATTGTTTTGCTTGGCCAAAATCTCTCAGATAATCAGTTAAAATGGAGATTTTTTTTAAAAATCCTCGTTTAGACCAAAAAGGGACAAAGATAATGCACAAACAAGCCTTTCTTTTGAGGTTTTGAACATGCTTGTTTTATTACATTTTTATTGCAGACAAATTTTATTGCGGTGACCAGTCTCTCCTACCTAAAACAATGATCTGAGAAATGTAATAAGCAGTTGCTATTGCTAAAAGCTAAATGTGCTGATGGCCTTTTACACAGCTGTTAATGATGTAGCGTATAGCAACATGTTGAAGACTTAACTCAAAGCTCTTTGAAGGCTTTGCTATAATCTACTACTGAGTCACAGATGCTGAGCCTCATTCACTCTAGGTGAGTACAGTCTTCACAGAATCGATGGGAAATGACCAATGGCGCACGTCTACCCCGTCATCTAGAATTATATGAATTATAGTTGGCTAGATTTTGAATAGGGGGAATGATGCAGGTTTGTTCTTCAAAATCATATTATATATGACTACTATTGATCTCAAGGTACTTACCACCTTAACTTCCCCAACATTAGAGCTACAGTAACCTATTGATTACTGATGCCAATGGAACATTATAATCTTTTATCGAAAATGGCAAGATGGCGATATGCATGAATAACATGCATGAGACCTGGTTGTAGATTAAGCAGAAGCTGTGGACTTGCCATGGGCTGTATGTTGAGAGCAGAAGATGCTGACGGCGAGAGCTGCAGTCCTCGCCGGTCACTGTGTGCCTGGTGAGCAGGTACTTTTCTCAGCATGGTTCCTGCTCTTGTAAAAGCAATAAGTCGCATGGCTTTTCAGAAGGACGTCCAGGTGGCCCTGAATGAAGCTCCTCGCTTCAGGCCTGATGTGTAGAGCCATGAATTAACCACTATTAGCTCCTTGCTGGTTTGATTTGGCTTTTCGATACAGTTCCCATGGCAAAAGCATAAAGCCGCAGCTCAAGAATCCCCAAGTGGCATGAATCGTGGCTGTCGATTATATGGTGTATATTGATTATGCAGTAATGCGTGATGACGTTTAAAACTCAAGCGTGGGATTGTTTGGGGTTGACTTCCTCGACATTGATCTCACAGTCCTTCTATTTCCCCCTCAAGATTTAACAGACCTACATGCAAATCTGAGGAGATCTAAAGCTTTTCGCTTGGCTTTTTATGGGGTCATTTAAGACCAGGAATCACTGCTGTTACTCAATCATCTTTCTGAGCTGAGATTTCTGAAAATATAATGTAACACAGTATATTATAGGTAAAGTCTTACTGGTGTATGAAGTGTTATATTTATAGAAATACAATGACTTTCCTCCACAATATAACACCATATAGACAAATAGTCACACTGACAAAATACAACATTACATTTTTTTTAGCATTTCTCATAATTTATCAGCACTTTATAATAGAAGTTGCATGTCACTCATTATTTATCTTCTGTTGAGAAGCCTTGATATTCTGGAATGCAGAAATGATGCACCAGACACAGGGATTGGAAGATGGAATGGGGGTGTTTTATTGGATCTGTCAGAGGGCTGGCAGGCAGGACAAGCTGCATACAAAACAACCGTTTGCTAGGGAGCAAAATGTCTCACCTTAAACCCACAAGGGCCAGACCATTGCTCCCCGGCCTTCCTTCTAACACACACCAAACTTGTTTTATTACTCTTGGACAAATAGTTACAGGTGAGCAGAAGGGCCTGACCTCACCTCTCCCCATGTAACACTTACTGGGGACTGGGAGGGAGGAAAAATGTGGACTGTCTGGCAGGGAGCTCGGAGGGAACGAAAACATGGACCGACTGCCAGTCCCCGAGGACTGGATTGGGAAGACGCTGCTGTAACATGGAAAGGTATGTAAAGGGATACTTGTATGTCCTGAGCTGGATCAAAAATCCAAAGACACAGTGGCCCCCGTAGCCTAGAGCCGAATAAGTGTACAGTATGCTGACAACCATAAGACAAACATTGCTTGCTTGCTGTACATTGTCATTACATTATTTGAGAATGTTTCAATCAAGAAGGATTGGGCCGCAAAATTGTGCATGCCTATACTTTAGGGGATAATGTACACTTCTCTACAGACATTCATTTTTCATTCATTTAAGCTTAGAAATATTTGTCTTTTACACAGCTAATGATTCAGGTTTTTACATATAACATGGTTCGTTAAATATATTTCTAATATCCTCCTGAGACCCAAGGAAAAAAGTTTCCTTCAATTTTAGGTTATTTGTCTTTGGAGGAAATAAGACATCTTACAATTTAGATTTTTTCAAATTAATTTTTATTTTTAATTTCACAGCATGTCCTCTTTAGTGTACAACAGGAATAAATATGTTTCCTTGCATCAGTGAAAAGATAGATGCAAAAACAACACGTCCACTACAATGGACATAAATGAATGGGTGGGATCTCAGGAGGATATATTAATATCATATCATTCTTTATGTTCTCTTACATTTTAGTTTAATTTCATCTTACAAATTTCGCTAATACTTTATTGTAATTATTTTCCCTTTTTGCTCTATTTTCACTTCCTCAAACTGCTCGGAAGGTCACTGCGCCTTAAGCTGACTCCTCACCAAAGTGACTCTCCTACACCTGTGAAATCCTGCTGCAAATGTAATTTCCTGTTGAATAAGGGAATTTGAGGAGTTCAACCCAGCTGTCTTCTCTTTGCAGGTAATACATTATGATTAGTACCCTGTCCAGTAGCATGTACACAAACCGACTAAGATTTTATTCTGCCATTCTGTGTTGGACCTAAAAATCTTACGCATTTCACAATGTCTATGTGACCTTTGTGACTGATCTTCAGAATCTTTGCCACCACTTCCATTAATCTTATAAGGTGGAAGCTTATAAAAGTCTTCAAAAGTTAACTTCAGTGTTGTGGTGTGAAGTTTTAGTAGATTAGGCATGTTTCCTCTGTCCAGAATGTTATGGGCTACATAACTGCATTCACTGCATGCTCTCTGAAAGCTGGGTAGATGTTTATAAAAACCAAATCTATCCTTGACTACAAAGACCATTCCATACATATTGTAACAGACGTGGGAGGGGGCGGGGAATGTGACAGTTTTAAACTTGAGAAGAAGTTGGGCACTGACACCCCAAAACCGTAATGAGCTGAAGGTACAGTTGGGTTGGCAGAGGGAGAAGATCAAGTAATGCTAAAATATGCTTTGATGAATTTCAAAAAACATTCAGTCAGAGCAGGTACCTGCAAAGTAGCGCAGGTATTATGTAATCAGTGCTGGTTGAGAAAGATGGGAGGGGCATGTTACCAGACTAAAGCAGACTATTTATTGGTATTCCTCCCTGCTGCCAACTAACTGGGAATGCTAGCTGTCTGCTCTAATGCTGTTAGTGCACCCTAATACAGTGTTCCTCAACCCGGTCCTTGTGGTCTCCCAGACAGTCCACATTTTTGCTCCCTCCCGTCTCCCTGTCAGATAGTCCACATTTTTGCTCCCTCCTGTATTGACAATTCTTTTCAAACATCACTAGATACTGTAAGTATATTCCCCTGTATGTAGGGGAGGCCATCACATCTTACCATAATAAATGACCATGTAAAGTTATTTATCTAATTAAACAAAAATATAAGTAAAAACATGGACTGTCTGTGTGACCTGAGGACTGGGTTGGGAAACACTGCCCTCATCCACGCTAATTCTGCCTAGTGGTGTCAACTCAGGCTGCATTTTTAGTACAGAAACTAAAGATGAAGAGAGAGTCTTTGCCAGACAATTGTTGTATTGATTTTTTTCTTCTTCTTTAAAGCCCTCCAAATGGAATGGAAAATGTCCTTGGGTTGTTTTAATTGATTGATAATGCTGTTGTAACTCTGCAGGCGGCAGGAACGGTCTCCCACACCGAAAGCAGAAAGCCAACTGCGTCATTGCATCACATAAGCCCAGGCCTTTGTCACCCTGCTAAAATAACTACAGTATTTCTTATCATATAATTCTAAATTATATATGACTGTCTACCTTTACGTATTGCAAGGACACATTTGAAATATTGGCAGAACTAGAGAAGTATATTGTCCTGTATGCAGAATTGACTTAAACAAAAACTGAAGCAAAACGTTGGCTATCTGGGTGTCCCATAGGACTGGGTTGGGAAACACTGTCTCATAGGAGATTTACTTGCACAAAAATGTTCTGAGGGCAGAAGGAACAATGATTGGCCCAGAGAGATAACCAATCCGATTGTAGAGGAGGTGGGTTCAACCAATCAGATATCTAGGCCCTTCCTCCTCTAGTTGCTTTGACCCACCTTCTCTACAAATTGATTGGTTATCACTCTGAACCAATCATTGTTCCTTCTGCCCTCAGAACATTTTTGTGTATGTAAAACTTACATGAGCAAAACACTGATCTAAAGTGATTTATATGGAAGGAGCTGAAAATGACCAAACTGTGATTATAGAGATAAGCCCCAAGCGTGTCACCTGCCCTGCCCGGAGAGTGAAAATAAGCTGGCAGCTGACAGCTCATGCATCAGAAGATGTGTGTCGGCTCATTATCCCTCCTGGGGTGTTGGGGACACAGTGCTTTGAGTCAGAGGCATGCAAAGAATATACAAGGCCTAGTATTTCAGATTGGATTATGCTCAATTAATTAACCTGCCTTGCTTCTGAATTGCATTCTGATTTCTTTTTTCATTTGTGCTTCCCCTGTCAGTTGAACAGAAGGGAAATTGTTTTGGAAAAAGCACACTTCCGAGCGTCCGTAAACATTGTTAATGATACACTTCCTGATGTCTCTCTTTTATAAGGGAATTAATTGGATGCACCTTCTTGTGGTGATCTGTCAATTAGCTGGAGCTGGTTGGCATTCGGGAAGCAGGGGGGGAGCATGTAAATTAAAATGAGATTTAGGTTAGAAAAATGAGGATGCTTACTAAAATCAGCAGGCCTAAAACCAGACATCACAACTCAAGCTGCTCTTGAAAGTAATTTTTATGATACTTAACAGGAAGTCTGCGAAACTTCTGTAGAAGATGGTACATCTCGGAATGACTGTTACCAGGCAACATCTCCAGGATCATTGCATTCTGACATTTTGGTTCTGGCGTTGGCAGAAATAACAGACGGCACTGGCCACACAAGCTCAACAGAGGTGTACACAGGTCGCCAACATGTGAAGGTGGTGCTTTTAAAACCGCGTGCAAATGCCTTAACTGCGAATACTCACCTTAGGCTACGGAATATAAATGGCGTGAAGGTGAGGCAATGAAGGCCAGTGCTAATTCTAACGCTCTTAACATGCAAACGACGGGACCCAATCAATGAGAGAGAGCTGGTGAATGAGAAAAGCCCAGGGGCCTGATTTAACCCGTGTGTGTTTATGAGAAGCAAGGATAGGCAAACGGTCCTTTTTAAAATCCGGCCTGCATTGTTTAGACAGCATTTTGATCACTAAGGGCCAAAGCCTTCTGCAAACATGATTACAGAAATAAGTAGGCAAAAGACATCAATGAAATATTCATGCATTATGTACCCTTTATTTATTAAAGAGAATTGTTACGTAACTATATGTCGCCAACCAGTTGCCCCAGTTTTCTATTCACGTGCAGGAATAGGCCTACTTAAAGAAAATCCTACTGTATAATAATCCTGCATAAGTCTTAATTTTCTTTGCGACTTTCATTATTTTTCTCACATGCACCGTCTTCCCTGGGCGGTAAATTTAATGTATAGCGTGTTCTTCATTATCATTGGGCTGGCATGGTTGCTCAGTGGGTAGGACTATGTCCGCTTCCAAAATGTTTCTAGAGTTTTCGTTCCCCCCACCTTTGCCTGGGTTTTCGGTGAATCAGCGTCTCTGAATTGCCCTTGGTGTGTGACTGTGTGCCCCGTGATGCAACGGTGTCCTGCCCAGGGAGTCCCCCCTTGTACTGTACCTGTAACCGCATTGGTTAAGTGGTTATGGAGAATCAATTGCTTAATCCATACCTTATTCTTCGTGCATTGAAAATTTTGCTAATGCATCTTTACGCTACATTTGCTAAAGCACCCGCCGCATATCTGACTGCGTCTTCTAAGTTGTGTTAAAAGGGATGGTCAGATATCACGTAAATTAAAGAATAACCAGTGCAAACAATCTGCAGAGTTAGAATTAAGATGCTTTTTTTGTCGCAAAAAAAAAATCGCCTGCTGTTAGACCCGCATTTTAGACTAATAACCTCTAGTAAGTACAGCATGACAAGCAAAATTTGACAAAATATAATTTGCACCAGCAAATAATCATACAGGAAGCATCCGAACAATAAGCAAATGCCCTCCGGTCTACACAAGTGCACTGCAGTCTAATTGCAGACCAGTGTAAAATCCAAATGTAATTAGTCTGTAAACAAAGCAACGCGAACCGCAGGCACGGCAGATTGTTTAGCGTACTACTTGTGCTTAATACCCCGAACATATGTTTATTAAGCTGCTAATTGTTAACCGCAGGAGCGCCCATATCTTGTCGTGGTTAAGCGAGCAATAATATTAATTTATTAATTACACTTTATTAAGCAATAAAACATCATGAAGGTACCAGATTGTTCTCCGCGATGAATTCATCACTAGCGCTGCGATGACCGGGGCTGTTGCACAGAAGGATACGTGCATTTGCAACATTACGTCATGCCAGTCACTATTTATCTTAATATGAAAAAATAATTTCCCGATCAGCATCCAGCGTCACAATTTTACAGGCTTTCTACACAATGTAGCATATAGCATGAACCATGTTTTACCCGTGAATACAAATTAATTTTCTAATATGAACAACGTATTTAAACATTTCAATCTTAAATCCGGTGATGGCCATACATTTGGTCTGCGGTTAGCCTACATTTCTAGGGTGCAAATTAACACCCGTTATTTATTTAACTTTCGATTTATTTAATCGAATTGCAGTCCATTGCTACTTGCTGTCAGCTTATTTAGGTAACATGGGCTAACGATTAAAGGATTTTACCGAAAATGCCGGTTAATGTGTTGATTTTATCGAGTTTAGTTTAAACTGGTGTTTTCTAAACGTCTCCCTTTGTGAGCGTCCATCCAGTAGCTACTGTACATTAGATTTAATTTATAATTAAGTGCTTTTTTTTAACGCAATATTCATTTTATGTGACTCAAACTAATCAAAGCACTGACATCATTATGCAAAACCAATTGTACTAACATGTATTACATAAAACAACATGTCTACTTTTATTTTATACAATGTATATACTATGTTGGTATTGCAATTAATATTGAAGGAAAAGTCAATACGTGTTTTAGTCCCGCGAAACTGTATCATTTCAGAGCGACCATTACTTTGTTTTGTATCACAAAATCTGTGGCGAAGGACCGAAAATAATTTACAGGATTTCCTCTTGAATTATTATGATAATCCTCCGTCCGCGGTGTTTCAAGGATGTTAACGTTGAGAACAATGGCCACATATTTATTGCTAGGTTAAGACTGGGGGGTTCAGATTGGGGGAAAAAACCAGGCGAAGCGATCGCAAAGAGGAATTATCACCTAACTAAAAATGCCTGTTTTTGGGGAGGTACAGCTCATCTGATGATGAGCTTTCCGTACAGCCAGAGCCCGCAGCGCATTAAGAACGCACGCGATCCCCCTCCGGAGCGCCTGCCTTAGTGATTCGGGCGGCGGCGGCGGAAAGAAACGGGCTTCGATACAAACGCGCATTTATCGGGGGCAGAGTAGCGCAGCACAGCAGCCGAAGGATTGATCTGCTTCAGTATCAGCCTAGGAAGGCAGAAGTGACACATAACTAGATATTGTGGAAGGCAGAGCGCGGTGTCTTTGCGCAGGATCGCGCTATAGGCATTTACTGCTTTCCCTCTATTTCCAACCCAATGCCGAGGCTTCCGTGCGTGAGTGTCTGGTGTCCCACCTAAGAGTGGAAAGTGGAGACATATATGAGGTAAGAGTAGGATTCGGTCATTTACCATAGTGAATGCTGGTTTTTATGCGATGCCTGGTCTTCATGACCGGGTCGTTGGGTGTCTAGCAGTAATTCAGCGCTCAGATTTCACGCCGCCGCATTTGATTAAAGCGAGTCTGTAGACTTTACACTAAACTGCACGGGGTTGATCGGTGAAAACGAAGCATAAATAGGTCAAAATGTACCAACTTCACGATCGATTGTTGTTAGTGCGTTTGGGAAAGTAACTTGAATTGGGTATTTGTAAACCGTAAGCTCAAAAAATACAATAAAGCTGGTTACATCGAATCAAGCAGGACACGTCGAATAAATATGGAAGTTCGCATTAAGTAAAAAAAATATGGATAAAATTTAATTAAAGTGAAACCTAAAATAGCATGGGGAACTTCTGGATAGGTGTAATGTATCTTACACGGTTCGGTGGACTTGAGTGTAAAAACTAGCGCTTCAGCGTCAGTCATTTTTCATCGGTTTTGAGTTGTTTGGATGTAACATTTGTTCCCTTTGGGCAGAGGAGAGGCAGGTGTGCTGGTGACCGGGGAAAACAGGTGTTGGGGGGAAGGAGGTCGGTAAAGTAAGACCGGGAAAAGCGAGTGAAACGCCCGATTCTGGATGCTGAATTATAAGTTGCAATGCGCGGCAGTTGGACCCAAGCGAAATGTTGTGTCGAGTCTGTTAGACTTCGGATGAGCGCATGTTAGTTTGGGGGAAGATTATAGCTGAAATGAAGTAATCGGTGCATTTTACTGTATCTGGGAAGGAATGTCAGTGCTGTAATGTTCCCGTGGGGGACACAGCGCTTCTCGCGTTTATGAAGCGGACGTGAGCCGCTCTGCTGAATAGAGATGTCTGTAAGGCACCTGGACGCGGATCGCAGAAGTGCTACTATTTGAGAAAAGGCCAGATGAGTGTGCAAGTTCGTGGTGTTTAGAAACGAAATGTCATGCTGTTTTTTCTTCTTGTTGTTTTTCGGCAAGAGTTAGAGCCACAGTAGACCATGGACAAGAATGTAATTACCTCTTAAGTAGCAGGATGGGTCAGTTGACCTTAGAAGATACACCTCCAGGGTAAATTTATATTAAAATCCTTCCTTAGGAGAAGGAAAGAACCATTAACTAGGTCACTGTCACTTACTATGACATGAGTAATTATACCCAGGGGCAGCTATTAGCATATTATAGAAGTTCTTTCAAATTCTATGAGTGATCTTTTATGGAGACCTAGTCAATTACAGAAGTAAATTCGAGCTGGAAAAGGTAAAAGATGGTTAGTAGTCTGAATAAGAGACCGAGTTTGTGTCTGAGGTATATCTACACAGGTAACGTTCATGTGTGAATTCTGGGTTAGTTTCAGGCTGGGTGGTCTCCAGCTATCCATTTTATGGTCTCAAAATGAGAACGCGTGTTTAATCTGGACAGCGTCTTTGTCAGATTTGTGATACTGTAAGTCGTCCTTGGTACTGCTGCACTGGAAATGAGATGGGTGACCTGTAGTGATGTGGCTTGCAACTTTCCTTTGATTTGTGGGTAAGATTGTATCTGGGAACACGACTCCATCTTTGGGCCTGATACCCCCCCCAGTGTGTTCCCCTGTCAGCCTGCGGCTAGAAAAAAGATTTCACTGGGATTCTGACAACCTCATTGATGACAGGTTTGTCACGGGGGGGGGGAAATCTCCCTTTGTACGTTTTCTGCCTATTGGGGGGGGGCGGCCTATGTTCCTGACCCATAACAAAAAAGCTTCTGGGGGTTGGGCCCAGATTCGCTGTTATACCACATGGTTACATGCCTGTTCACCAGCTCGTTCGCTGTGGACTCTGCTTAGATGCCTTTGTCATACATCAGTGGTAAGACGGGGCTCTCATACCGTGGCCTTGATCACATGACCTTGGCCAGACACGAAGACCAGGGCCCCCCATCTCTCCTTGGTGCTCCTCCTTCAGCCCTGGTGATTTTATATGGCCTCTTGTATCCTCTGATTTATTGCGGACGTGGGCAAATGCTTAGTCATAACAGTGTATGCAATGCAGTATTGACTCTAAGAGCTGCTCTAGAGAGTATTAGCCACTGTGGAAAGACTGTTGCCCTTTTTATGAAAACTTCTGGGTGAAGATCATGGTAATGCTATACGGTTCTACATAAGAGCCCAGCCTGGCCAGTTTGCTACCTTAAGGGGTAGATGAAGGGTGAGGTTATTTTGCTGCTGTTTCTCAAAGGTATATAGATAGAGTTGTTTTTAAGATCCTTTTTAGCAACGATATCTTTTTGCTAATGCATTGATCTAAGCTTTCGTAAGCAGGATGTTTATTTGTAGAGGAAAAATGCCTCCTTTTGTATTATGCTGCCCAGGGGAGAGACTTTATAGTTCAGGTATTATAACGTGTTTTTGGAATGACCGTCACACGGATAGCTGGAGGTGATACAGGCTGTAGTAAGTTGTGTCTTGGCTGAAGAACAGTGTGAGGACAGCCCAGGGCTCGAGGCCACACCAGGACACACTGAATACGAATGCTCTCTGCCATGTCTGCTTTCGGCTTTTGGAACTCAACTGTCAAGGTGGTTTGCAAACGGGAGCCTCATTACTTAAATCTCTTAAATACCTTCTAACTCTCTGAAAGTGTTTTGGCTGTGAAATATATCAGCCATAACATATTAAAGTCACTAACAGGTGAAGTGAATAACGTTGATTATCTTATTACAATGGCACCGGTCAAGGGGGCCATTCTGCATTAGGCGATGAACAGTTGGTTCTTGAAGTTGGTGTCTTGGAAGCAAGCGTAAGGATCTGGATGAATGATTGACCAGGGCCAAATTGTGATTGCTAGACGACTGGGTCAGAGCGTCTCCTAAACAGCTGATCTTGTGGGGTGTTCCCAGTATGCAGTGGTCAGTTCCTACCATAACTGGTCCAAGGAAGGCCAACTGGTTAACCAGCGGGGAGGTCATGGGTGCCCGAGCGGGTGCTGGGGCGTGAAGGCTAAACAGTCTGGTGATCTGCTGTAGCACAAACTGCTGAAAAAGTTAATACTGGCTATGATAGAAAAGTGTCAGAACACACTGCGCATTGCAGTCGGCTGCGCATGGGGCCGCGCAGTCGCAGGGCAGTCAAAGTGCCCATGCTGACCCCTGTCCACTGCCGCAAGCTCCTGAGCATCAGACCTCGGTCATGGAGAAATGGAAGAAGGTGGCTTGGTCTGATGAGTCATGTTTTCTGTTGCATCATGTGGATGGAACCAGGATGCACTATGGGGAAACCGGCAGAGGCAGTGTGATGGTCTGGGCAATATTCTGCTGGGAAACCTGGCATTCATATGGATGCTACTTTGACACCTGTCACCTACCTAACATTGTTGCAGACCAAGTGCACCCTTCTTGGCAGTGGTATCCCCCGATGGCAGTGGTATCCCCCGATGGCAGTGGTATCCCCCGATGGCAGTGGTATCCCCCGATGGCAGTGGTATCCCCCGATGGCAGTGGTATCCCCGATGGCAGTGGTATTCCCCGATGGCAGTGGTATCCTCCGATGGCAGTGGTATTCCCCGATGGCAGTGGTATCCCCCGATGGCAGTGGTATCCCTCGATGGCAGTGGTATCCCTCGATGGCAGTGGTATCCCTCGATGGCAGTGGTATCCCTCGATGGCAGTGGTATCCCCGAAGGCAGTGGTATTCCCCGATGGCAGTGGCCTCTTTCAGTATGATAATGCACCCTGCCACACTGCAAAAATTGTTCAGGGATGGTTTGAGGAACATGACAAAGAGTTCAAGGTGTTGACTTGGCCTCCAGATTCCCCAGATCTCAATCTGTGGGATGTGCTGGACAAATATGTACGATGCATGGAGGGCCCACCAAGCAACGTTCAGGACTTAAAGGATCTGCTGCTAACGTCTTGGTGCCAGATACCACTGGAGACCTTCAGAGGTCTTGAGGAGTCCATGTGCTGATGGTCCTTTGTTTTGTTTTTTGTACTGCGTGACCTGCATCTGTTTTGAAATCTATGCTTAAAAAATCTTATAATTTTGCTTCCCACATTGGTGAAGATTCTGGGATCTCTGCCATGGTTTTTCTTACTCCAGAGAAAAGACTGAAAGCATTGTCATATTTCATGTGCATATTGAAAATAATGTATCATACATGAAACGTGAGTCTCAATCATGTTTGTGATGTTTTTTTTTTTTTGGAGTTGCGTACTTGTCTCTCTGAAACTCATAATTACCCATTTTTGCATACATGGGTTTCATTTCTACGAGAAATGAGGTCTTATATTGTAGCTTTTAATTAACAAAGGACATGGGGTGAAATGTAGTGCTGAAACTTTGGCTTTAAAAGCAGTAGATAGATATCCTTGCGTAATGAACATGCAGTCATGTGTCTCACATTAAGATGAAGGGGTGAGATTACTCTGGCTTCTGTGCTGAGCTGATGTTTATTTCAAACCCACCTGGACAGAATGAAAACGTGTCTGTTGGAACGCTTACCACAGTGTTTTTGATGTCGATTGTCTCTGTGTCGAGGGTTAAATTTCTTTAACAGCTGCTGTTGGTGATCCGACAGATGGTTTATTTTGAAAGGAAGGTGTGTGTGTGTGTGTGTGTGTGTGTGTGTGTGTGTATACTGCCTGCAGCAATAACCTGAGCCTGCGCTTGTGGTGTCACAGCGAATATGTTTTAACCGATGCTGGCAAGTTCCACTTCAGTTCGCTGCGGTAGCCAGTATCGCTCACAGAAACCGTTGTCCTCTCTGGTTTTCACCCCCCTTCTCTCCTTACACTGCCTGGACTTCCTCCCAGCCCAGCTGTGCTCGTCACGATCTGCCACAAGGAGCGATTTAATGCAGCCCCCGGATAACAGCTCCTTGTTTGTGCGGGAGCATGGGGCCGTGGTGTGTGGCACGGCTCGGGCGGCGCAGCCTGCCTGTCTAATTACCAACGCCATGGATTGTCCGCGAGGGCGGCTGGAGCGCGGAATCGGCAGCGGAGTTC